CCCATGTCCAGCCCCACCGTCCATATTTACAACCACACTAAGGTGTGGTTGTTAATCAAAATCTTCCCAATAAACAACTATAAGCTATGTCGTTAGTTCAATACAATCTAGGTTAAACGAAAATCCCACTCACCATATACAGTCACAAATCGAAGGAGGTTAGTATTAGTTACTAGCTCCCATTTCTAATCGTAGCCAATGTCGGCGGTCGAATGAATTGAGGATTTATTTAGTTAAATGTGATTCAAGTTGACAAAACATTTTAGTTTACAATCAGCTGTTGACTTTGCAGGATACTACAGATGACAGATGAAGTAATTCGGAATAAAGATGGGCTTTTTGGGCCATCCCATTAGTGTAACAGAGAAACTACAACTTATCTAGAGACAGAGATCAGCACAGATATATTTCAATATTGAAACTGCTTTATTTGAAAATTTTAATAAAGATCTGCAAACATATTCGAAAACGAAATATTCCTAATTGTAACTGAAATATTTAATTTATACAATAAAAATCAGCTGATAAAGAGCTAATGTGGCAATTATAAATTTTTGCAATACATTTTAATTTTTTGTACCTACTATTGACGAAATTGGCGGAGCTGACATGGCAAGTGACGTTTCAAAGTAATCAGTTTGACAGTCGGCAATAAACCAATTTCTGCATTACAAATACTCCCAGTTTAAATAATGAAAATTGTTATTTGTATTTATATTACAAAAAAAATTTAAAAACTTGATCTGAATTATGAAATTAATAAGCATTTTCGTTCCGTTGCTTTCGCTAATATCGGTTGGCCTATCCTTGCCCGAGCCAGGCAAATGGGATTTCACAGTGACACCAGTAAGTAAAAAAGTGAAAAGAAAATATGAAATAAAATACGGAAAACTCAGCTAATGAAGTTCTAATTTTCTCACAGGATACCAGCTTTAATTATGTAGTTAAAAGCGTGTATAAAGGAGCTAAAGTCTATGTACAAAGTGAGTATTTACTGCATCAATTTTTCGAATAGAACTTATTTAGTTATTTTATTTACAAAGGCTATAATAGGGCAATAACTCGATTGTTAAACTTATTAATTTTCGCACGCTTTCTCTTCCAAACATATGACGAGTTATAGTAATATTTCTGGAAATGTTTTGCTTTGCATGAATTGTTTATTTTGTGCGACGTATATCGATGATTTGATCGAATTTATAGTCTTAATTACTTCAAACTTAACTTCATCATTTTTATGACTATGTGGCTTTTATGATATAGCCTAGAGATGTATTGATATTGACAAGGTGCCACCTTTCCTTTACACAGCTTATCTGTAAAACAAATATATTTGGTTATTCGGGGTGAGTCAGTATACTTATATTAGCAGGACTCTAGCATTCACTAGACCATCTTATTTTAAATAAAGTTTATCATTTATACATAGTCGCACAATTGCGCTTTGCTTTTGAGATAGAGGGTGTTAATGTTGTTTAATAGCCTGTTCCTCACTGCTCCTATCGTTTTTGTGATTAAAAAAAACTTTATTCTCATAATCAGCCCTGTGCTGTATCACTCACGTTAACTTTAACTTGCATGTTATCCGTCAAACACGATATGTGGCCCCAACTGGTGTGTTGTATCAGTAAAACCTTTATAAATATATGTATTAAAAAATTGATTTCAGATTCCCTAAGCTAATTCTCATTCTTTTTTCGCCCCAGAGATCAGGCCCACTTTTCATGGGAAAAGTGTGTGGGTCGCCAATGACCGTTTATTTGCAAACATTTAGATTCCAAGCTGGATTTAAAAACTCTTTTATCGTTTACATTTTTACAGTGGCTGTAACCGTTGTCGAGCAATTTGGAAAGAAAGCTCAAAAAGTTTTTTTCAAAATGAAATCTGAATTAAATTTATAAATTATCGCATTAAATACAGCCGCACTTATTATGCATAATACGTAAATCCCACTTCGGATATATCCAAAAATACCGCCACTGAATATCAATGTAGAATTTGCCCTTAGCTATTTCTTATTGAAACCTATTAAATATTTATACAATATTCTCTGATTGTAGGTTGTTGTAAAAATGCGGGTCACACCTAAGTATGCCATTAACAAAGAAAAAATACTTAATTAAGGAGACCGTATTTCTGTAATTTTGTATTTTAAAATTCGCGATAAAGCAACTTTATTTGAGCGTTTGTTAAAAGGAAATCAATCAAGAGGAAATCTTGTATTTTGTTACTGTGCGAAGCGATTTCCGAAGTGTGAATAAATTGGTAAAATACAAGTACCTAAATTTTGCCGTCTCATTTTATGTATACTTTTTATCTTGTTAACAGTTGTAGGAAGCTGTTATGTTGTAATGTTTCTTTGGTTATAGTTAATTGCCACTCAGACGTTGCAGATTCTGTGATAGAAGTGAGATTAGGTATTCTTCAGTCAGAATGTTGGGACTACGAAGATACATTAGGCAAGCTTAAATATGTAAGTATATATATACATTGGTATGTTGAAGATGTCAGTGTTTTAAATAGTAGTTTCCAATTAGTATTTACATATTTGAGAACTAAGATCTTAATGAATCAAATTTGATAAGAAACTTTTAACAAGTTCTTAATTTAAGTTAGAAAATTACGTAAAGTGTTATAATCTTTTTGGATCATTCTTAGTTAGTAGATTGATAATCAATGTATGCTACTAAAATAGTAGCAGCTGAACTTCAATTTTGTTTTATTTGTTATTTACGTTTTATACTATGTTGTGTGTCCATGAAGTACTAAAATAACTATTTAAATTCAGGAAATGTTTGTTCCGAAATATTCTCGGACATATTTTATTATTTTTAAATGCGCATTTTTTGAAAAAAATTGAATATAAGGGGATTCCAAAATTGCGATACGACACTCCAGTTTAAAATTTTTTATGGAAACTCCAGCTTTTTGTTGGAATTTTGGATTGTATTTCAAATTTCGACTATTTTTTCGAATTAATGAAATAAAACGACTTCAATATAATTTTGATTCCTATTTTTGTTATGTTGCAGGTGCTTAACTCTTACAAAGTAACCAACTCATCGAAAGAATATTTACTAATGAAATCATATTCCTGTAATGATCATATCATACTAAAAGAAGGGCAATTACAAGACAAGACAACCGATGGAAGTCCTCGTCCTCTTCACGAATTGAGTCGTGATGGAGCTTACTTGTTAGGCTGCTTTATTAAATCAGAAAATGTAAAAGATACCATTGGACTGCACATCGAGATCAAGAGTGACTATGGTTATTTATCCGCTGCGGAATGGCCATTATTAACCTTTTATGGATTCATGTGCATATACTACATAATACTGGGGTTAATTTGGTTACTTCTCTCCTTTTTGCAATGGCGGGATTTATTGAGAGTGCAGTTTTGGATTGGAGGTGTTATTTTATTGGGGATGTTGGAAAAGGCAACATTTTATGCAGAATATCAGAGCATAAATGATACAGGAATAGAAGTACAAGGGGCCATGTTGTTTGCCGAATGGGTATCTTGTGCCAAGCGAACGTTAGCTAGAATGTTGGTTATAATCGTGAGTCTTGGATTTGGAATAGTAAAACCCAGATTGGGTTCAACGTTACATAGAGTTGTCGCATTTGGTATTCTATATTTTTTCCTGGCAGCATCAGAAGCATACTTAAGAAACAACAGAACCACTCCCTACTCCAAGGATGTACTGGTAGCATCTGTACCTTTAGCAGTATTAGATTCTGCCATTTGTTGGTGGATATTTTCAGCCTTAGTAAATACCACACGAACCTTAAGACTGCGAAGGAATGAGGCAAAGCTGGCCTTGTACAGGCATTTTACAAATGCGCTCATATTTGCTGTATTAGCTTCTTTGATTTTCATGGTTTACTGCCTTAAAGTACATCATTATGTAGAATGCTTAACTGTATGGAAAGACATGTGGCTAGAAGACGCCTTTTGGCATCTGCTGTTTTCGGTCATTTTATTAATAATAATAATACTTTGGCGACCAACTAATAACAACCAAAGATATGCTTTTGTTCCTCTTCTGGACACAGGCGATGATAATGAAGAAGAGGAACATCTAGTAAATGATGCTTATGGTGTTAAAGTAAGAATTCATCAACAGAAACATATATCGCCTAGAAATTCGGTAGATGATGATCTGAAATGGTTGGAGGAAAATGTCAAAAGCGACCCAGCTTTACCAATATTGGATTCTGATGAAGAATTGGTTTGCACAAGGTTTGAAGTTTCCAAAATGCAGTAGCGCGATGATTATATTTGTTTGTTTCAATAAATTCGGGTTTCTTCCCTCTTGTAAACCCAAGAGAAGTTAAAGTGGCTGATGCGTACAGTACTTTGAAACGTTTCCGAAATGTCATGGTCAGCATAAGATTACAACGCAAGTGATTATTTTACTTAAGTTGCCTAATAAATCTTACAATTAGTATAAAAGTAAAGTTCATAGGTATAATCCGAAGCGGTTTGGTTCCCATAATTATGACCATTTAGTATTATTTTATTAGGATGTATATTTGTAAAAAGTAGCATATGTAATTGGATTTGAAGCCCTAATATCCCCCTTACTGGTTGGCGTTCTGTATAATTTTAACGAAATATACTTTTCCATGGTGGATACAAGTTCAAATTAATATACCGTAAGTAGTTATCTGTCTAGATTTACTATGTATTAATTTTTAATATTAATTATGAAAAATACATTTCACTAAAATTATACGGATTTGTTGCAAAAAGTAATTATGCTATAAAAAAAGCACTAGCCTCAAATTAGAACATACTTATCTTATACCAGTATATTGTTACCTTAAAATACATAAACATCTTAGTTTTATGACGATTGAAACCATTCAAATAATTGACTGTATATCTGTTATAAATTAAATAGAATATTATAATTATATTAATAAAACAGAAAATCGATCGAAAATGGGAATGTAAAATTAATGTATCCATTAATATATTTACTACAATTTTAACATGCAAATTGATGATTGATCAGCAGTGCGTTTATGTTGTGAATTCTTATGACATTGTTTCATAATTCTTAAGTAGGTACGTTAAAATGAGAAAAAATAGTCAGTTACTTATAGGCATTGAAAAAAGCACAATATTTCCAAATATTCGTTTTCGACACGTCGTAACTCAGGCTAATTCCAATGGAAATAATTAAAGTCGTTAAAGCTGTAATATAGAAGAATAATAAAACTCAGAAGAAGACTATTCTGCACTGAATGAATAAAGAAAACAAAGGATAGCAATTTCATAATGTCGGGAAATTTTAAAATTAAATAATAAAAATTACAATTCAAAAGTTTTTCATATAAAAGAAGAAAACGATTCCAGAATGAAAAGTTACTGTACATAATGTAATTTTATGACCTTAGAGATCGCATCGCTTTTCTATATTTAAATTAATTACTATGTGTTTGTATATTTGATGTATTTTAGTTTGTAAATTTGATTTAATTTGTTAATCTGCCGCCCTAAATTATACCTGTGATGCCATTTCTTTATAATCAACTAGTTTAGCTGTCGGATAAGCATGGTCTAAGTAATAAATATTATCATAGTTTTCAACAAATGTTCTCTATAGAGGCATTTTAAGTTGTGTGCCCAATTCGATAACTTATTATTGTAGATTAATAACAGATTAGTTTCGTGCGTATTAAATTATTTAGTTACTGTGTATATATGGCTTTATTAATACAACTTTTAGATGTTTTAACAGCGTTTTCATTCAATGTTCACCTTCACCTCAAATCGCAGATGTGAATTTCGACGGTGAATGGAATGTCCAGTGATTTTTTTTAAATATCGGTAGTTGAACTTTGCAATATACCGTTGACTCTTTTTTCTACATGATAATATATTTTTCTGCTCTTCTGACTGCTTGCTGGGAATCTTAACTAAAATATAGAACCTGATCAGAAAGGATCAGTTCTTTGCAAAGAAAGTCAAACTGTCCACTAAAAATCCAATTAATTTAGGTTTAAGTTGAGTTCACGCCACTTGGATTTAGTCAAACTACAGCAAATTATCTTATTTAATCGTACTTTCAAGCCAATCATCACGCTTGCTGAGTTAAAAAAATACTCTTTACTGTCCAATCCTAACAGTAATTGATTTATTAAAGATCTATGTTTGCAGTAAAGCACAATTAAGATGTTTTGGATGTTTCGATTTGTATGTTTCCCGCTCGTATTTATTAAATGTATCCATCAAGTCTACTCCGCACGTGCACACAAGAATTTTTTGCAACGTTCGTAAGAAGCCTGTTCTGTTGAACGGGTTTAATTGACTTCAGAGAGTAAGCGAAATAATACAGTTTCAGTTTTAACTACAAAGCTTAAAGTTTTTAGTTTTACGGCAATTCCCTTTACAAAACATCTGTGGTATTGACTTAGTAATCAGGATCATTTTTAATTCAACAGCTTGATTAAATGAAAGCAAACAAATAAGAGGACAATTGAATAATCTTCAGTTATTTTCAATGAAAAAATAAAAAGTTAATAGAATTCTTCAGTTTTCAAAATTTAGGTACCCGACTTGGTTCCTAAAATATCCTGAAAAGGCAAGAAATAAACACTTTTTAATTATCATATAATTCGTAAACTGCTTAAATTAGAAAAAAAGTTAAAATTGTCTTTGGTAGAACTTTTTGCGTTGAATTCAATAAACTAGCACTCGTTCTCATAGTCAACTTGATTTACGAGATAAAAAATAAACTTGTGTTTTTTTAAATGGTAATTATAGTTGTCTGTGGGCCGTTTAAAATCCTTATTTTTTTCTGAATTTAACGATATAACTGTTTGTATGTTTTTCTCCTTTTGTTGTCGTAAAACTTCAAAAGAAGATAAAAGATGTGTAGTAGGCTATGGGAACAAGAACTATATTATCACACAACGCACAATACAATAATGAATCGTTTAAATTAAATGTTCAAATTGACTACCTTTTACGTCCAGGCATTTTTTGGCATCTTCACATTCTACTCGTGAGTTGTGTGAAGGTGCACTATCATGTTGAAAATATGCCAATTTTCGATACGATGCTAACAGAAAACTATTCAACATGTCTTCAAGTTCATTTGGTCAAAAGTGTAAATATCTTTCCATATTTAAATTGTGATTATAAAAGAATGGACCAATAATTTTATCACTAAAAAAGCCTCACCAGACTTACACAAAAAAAAACACGTTGATCTAGCCTATTTACAATTAGATGATGATTTTCATTAGCCCAGTAAACATGATTGTGTCTCTTAATTATTTCATTTTTGTTTTGGGATTTGTGTGATAATATAGTTCTTGTTTCCATATAGCCTACTACACATTTTTTATTCTTTTGAAGTTTAAAAGGCCCACAGCCAACTATAATTACCATTTAAAAAAACACAAGTTTATTTTTTATCTCGTAAATCAAGTTGACTATGACAACGAGTGCTAGTTTATTTAATTCAACGCAAAAAGTTCTACCAAATACAATTTTAACTTTTTTTTCTAATTTAAGCAGTTTACGAATTATATGATAATTAAAAAAGTGTTGATTTCATGCCTTTTCAGGATATTTCAGGAACCAAGTCGGGTACCTAAATTTTGAAAACGGTAATGAATAGGCAATCGAATTCTGCCCAATTTTGCCCATTTAACGGATTCTCTATCTTTAAAAATGTAGAAGTTAAACACACAAAGATTCAGAAAATGGTCACTCTGTATATAGTTTCAAATAGAATTTCCTTGGCATTATACATTTAAAGGCAAAAGTTTATACAGATGTGATGTAAGTATTCGTTATGTTTGCTGCCGTACCGTACTTTTTCATATTATTTTCAATACAGTGTTTTGTTCTTCTTTGATTTTTGTCAAATTCTGTGCATATTAGAATGTTGCTTAACTTGAAAATGTTTGATATTATTTGATTATGTATTGTTTTAATAAATGACCTTTTAAACCAATTAATATTGGTTTTGTTTCATTTATCCCGCAACTTACATAAATTTAAGGCGTCGACACTCATTTGCGCCGTTTCTTATTACGTCCGTTGTAGACGTTAATTTATGTTGCTTTGCGACGTCATTTTAGAGTAACTTATTAACGTGAAAATGACGAGATTTAGGGGTAGAATCCAACGTCTTTTTGCCGTTATTAGCACGTCTGATGCTACTCCTTTAAATCTGAATGAAACTTGAAAATTGTAATTTGAAATGTTATTTTGTTAGGTTCGGGTACAGAGCTTAAAACGGCGCACAGACGAACAAACTCAAATTTAAACTCAAAAAACTTCGTATCCTAAGATGTTCCGCCTACATTTTTCGTACGTCTGGACCTCCTCCGGAACCTTATACTGTGTGTAAGTCACAAAACAACCCACTTCGTCGCTCATTGACGTCATTTCACTGTGCCATCTTTCAGTGATATTCACGTCAATATGACGTGATAAAATTAGTGACTTCCATCATTCCACGTTTTTTTACATGATTGTCACATGGGAAAGGAGGAGACATGTATGGTTGAAGTCTTCAATTTCGTCACGTCATTTCGACGTAATTATCACGGCAATATGTCACATCGAAATATCGTTTGGTGCTGACTGATCAAAGATGGAACTTGAAGTATTTTGTAAATCTTTCTTCTTCTGGAAAGTAAGACGAGTCCCAGAGGGACTGGTGGAAGAACCAAACCAATGGGGAAAAAATGGGAAAAAAAAAAAAAGAAAAAAAAAATGTAACTATTAAGGATTTTTGATTGGTCGGCTGGCAACGTCGCACACGTATTCACAAGCCTCACCTAGTCCGGTCGAGTGGAAAGCACAGCTAAATTTTCGTCAATCGCCAGTGTCGGAGTCGGGCTAGTTGAGAGCCTTTGGGGAAGAACAGTGCGGCTTGTTCGCGTCTTTGTGCGCGCGAAGGCATCTGTTCTCGTGTTACATCTGCCGACGAACGAACGAATATTTCATTTATTTTTTAAACGACCAATTGTAATTGGGGAATTTGAGCGGGCATATTGAGTATGATCCAAACGGACGGTTACGGCAGCATCGATCCTTTTGTCGACGGTTACATGGAGCAGGAGGAGGAATGGGAGCGAGAGGGCCTTTTAGACCCGGCCTGGGAGAAACAACAGAAAAAGGTATTATCGACATCAAATTCGAATTCACTTGCAATCATTTCCCATCCAAGCATACATATATTGTCCCCATTATAGGTCTTCACATTTTTATGGGGGTTCAGTGGGCCTTATTTTGATCTTGACCAGCGGCGTCTCACCGGATTTCAATAAATATTTATTCCTGCCTATCATTCGATTCAACTCGGATTGAACCATTCTGACGATTAATCAACAGGGAAATGATTGATTTCCAACTTTAACCTGAACTATTCAAAATATGCAATGTTTACATTCGAAGAAGCCTCAGAGTTCAGCCAGTTTTAGCTTTAGTAAAAATACTGATTTAAAAGAAATTGAGGTCCAGACCTGAGCCTTATTTAAAGCTTATACGCTGATCAAATATACAGGATGTTCGAAAATTATGTCAGAACATTCGAGGTGTGATATGAAAAAGTATTACCCTTAGGGCCTTGTATAGTGCAAAATTAACCAAACTAGACGGTTTTCTCAATATTTTAACTATCGATTGTTGTTAATACTGTGTTGCCAAATTTGGCAAACATTCTACAAATGTTTCTTTAGAAAAGCATTGAAACCGTTAACCGTTGAATAAATTATTATTCAGATGTTCCTTTGTTACATCGAAATAAAATGTTAATATGTGCAAAAAATTAAAATTTTAAAACAACATATACAGGGTGAGCCAAATTGAACACTCTTAAATGGAAACTACTATTTGTAGGTATATAAGATACGAACATACGAAAACTGTAAAAAAAAAAAATGTCGGTCTTTCGGTTGTTATAACAAAATTAATAACGCAGTTTTTTCAGAATACCGCACATTTCAAACGGTTCTGTAACTTTTTTCTTGTGATTTTTAGCTTATTGAAAACATCTTCACAACATTTTTTTCCGTAGAATTTAACCCGCATTTGTGGTAAACCATTTTAACAGTTTACACTCATGTTTTACTTAAATATTCTGTGACACATAAAACTTTCTTTAAAAATAATTTTCCTGATGTTTTAATCTTTTACCACAAATGTTATTAAAAAGCTATTTGAAGGCATAGGCCAGGACAGACAATCCATACAACGTAAATATCAATAACGGTAAAAGTAATAATAACTAAATTAATGACGAAATTAACATAATATCAGTGAATCACCAGCATTATGAAAATGGCAGGCATGAAGACAATTTCACTACAGTTAAGTAGTGAAACTTTAATCCATCTAAAAGTTATGGGTAGTTATCATAACTGTGTTCCAGGTTGTCCCAGATAGAAAAACCTCATTTACTCAATTCGTTGCATGATTCGAAACAGGAAAATGGATTATTGGTCGAAACATTTCCATTGTTTTTCTGTGGTTTACAAGGACGTATGGTTGATTGTGTCGACACTGAATTTTTCCCATACATGCTTGAATAGACCTAGCCCATAACATTTTTCGCAGTATAAGTTGGGTGGCATTGTTTAAAAAATGTGACTAGTTCAGCCAATAAAGGAATAGGTCAGGAAAATGTGGTTGCATATTTTCAATATTTTTTGACTATTTTGTGATGAAAATGAGCTAAATAAAGCCGACTTTTCCTGGAAACGGAAAACGTAATGCACGGAAATAGGCCAGTGAAATGTCAATGGATGAAAATATCAATTTCAGAGTTCACGCAAGCTAGTGTATATTTTCGTATTGCAAGAAATTAAAAAAAGGAGCGTTTAACATAAATTAAGCATTAAAATTACATTTTATGCTTATTGCGTATTGCTAATACGCAACCAGAATAATATATAAATATTGGATAAAATATTCACTCAATATTAGAACAATCTAACCAGGTAGTTCGTGCACCTCTATACGCCAATATTTTTTAATATGTGTAAGTCCATTAATTTTCAAAAAAAGTATGAAAATCCTCTAAGAAACATGCTAACGCTGACATGAATTTGTTGGCTTATATTTTTGTGTAAATAGTGGTTCAGTGAAAAAGATGAACTTTGTATCGCCAGATACTAAAGCTGCAGTTAATAATTGTAATACGCTGTACCTATAATGCGATCAACGATGATATTTGGCAACAAGACGGTTACATAAAACTATGCAACAAACAGGAATAGTTTTAGTTTGAGTCTGTGTTCCAGTAATAGATCGAAATTTATGGGTAACAAAGTTAAGTAAAATTCAAGTGATGATTTGCACGAACTGGATGCCAATTTTGTTCACATTCAAATACTTATTATTAATATGTGAAATAATTGATTAGCAATTAATATCAAATCCATTATTGTTTCATGTATGTCACATGTGAAATTCCATTAAGAAATTTATTAATTCTAAAAAAAGTACCTATATGTATATCAATTTACTGACTTCTGTACTTAGCTGGTTTTGTTAGTATTTCGTTTATTTCCTTAGCGACTAATAACTAGTAAAATAGGACAAACTGCATTTTGAACAGTCGTTTTTGTTTGTTTTTTGAATTAATTTACATTATTTTTGGTAAATACAATTGCTTCTTTAAAAATGTATTCTTACGGATTATTGAACTCTTACAACCTACTGGACATCAAACTAAAAAGAAGTTATTTCCATTATTTTGCCTTTAATCTGATGTTGTTGTTGAAAGTTGATCCATCTAGTTTCTTGATTGTTATGCTGCACACTGAATACACTAATTTTCAAAATAAAGTAATCAACAAGCTTTGGTTTTTGTCAAAAAAGAATTTCGCACTCAATTTTAATATTGGGTAGCAGGTCTTTCCAGGCTATTCATGTAACATGTAAACACCTCTAAAAATACGCGAATGCCACTCTGTTTGTACGGACAGCCTCGGAAAAAATAGAAATTAAATAATATATATCTCGAAATTATACATGTCTATTTTCATAATTCGCTTTTTGATTTTTGCAAATGAGTTCTTGTGGTATTAAACTGAAAAATCTAGACGATATATTTCTGTCTATATCACATGTGTCATTTCACACGAATATGTATAGAAATCGTCATAGGCTTTTCAACTTTTGGTTTGGTAGATTGTGCAGAAGTTCGGTTGCTCTTATTGCCACTAGTACAATAGTACCTCTAATATATGCAGAAAAATGTTAAATTTAAATTTAAAAAAGTTATTTCAGAAAATGTTAAAATTTTAGAAATGTTATTTATAATAATATACTTAAGTTCCGATTTAATTATTTATTTTTGTACAAGTGATCCATTTAGGAAACATGAAGGCTGCTAGTTTCGTTTAACGTTTTACTTGTAGCTACCTACCTATAGTAAGTATCCAGAAAAGTTACATTGACAATTTAAAAAAACTGAAAAAAAAAATTAATCAAATTTAATTAATACATTAAACCTGAAAACCAGCGTTATTCATGGAAACACCAATTATATATTTTCATGTTGATGAATAATTCTGATGCTGATATGATTCTGGTGTCTCATATAAATTAATGTATGTAAATGTATGTAAGCATTATTTAAAAATATATCTAACAAACTGTGCATACTTTTATACAAATCCCGTTGTTATCAAAGGCAGGCGATTACGAGAGTGTCGGTTTATTACTTTGTTTTGCCGAATCGCATAAGATGCATTATAATTCGTAGTCAAACATTACACTTAAGAGGACCGTACAACTTTTGCCTTCTCAATTAATCTTAATTAATATTCGTAACACCAACGCCTGACATCGAATTTGATCTTGATTTAAAATTGGAAGACACAAAGGTTCTTAGAGTTAAAAGAAAATGGTTCTTGGAACACTGTTGTAACATATTTTTAGACCATGGAAAAGTAGGCAATTGAATTGATACCAAATCAACCTCATGCATGGCCATATGCCGCCATGTGACGAAGAACGAGTGGTTAATGTTATTGTTGCACTGTTAAATAGGGTGGCTTAGTACCAGAACACCCACCACACCTGGGAAGAAAGAATCGACTTCCCTGTTCATATGCGTACTGTGCTGGCATTAGAGGAATAATATTATTAACAAAGTTGGGTTGTAGTTTACCTATGTTGAATGTGGAAAAAGTATAAAGGCTGTACGGAAAATGATATAATAATATTCACAAAAACCGATATTGAAAATCAATTAATAGATTTAGCAGCTGTTCCTTCCATTAAATATCTGAGAGGAAAGCCGAAGAGGATTAGTAGCACTTTAGGCCAGCGATATTGTTTCTAATCGTGACTTAAGCAGTAAAAACAGGCACATTTTACCTGTTCGTTTAAATCGTGAACTTTATCATCTACTGCTACAAAATGGGGTTATTAGCAAATGTGGCCAGCACCTGGTTTCAGTATGATGAATCGCCTCCACACATTAGTTTAAAGGTGGATTAGAAGGTGGAAGTTGACGTCTTCAATTGGAGTTATCTGAATGAAGGGAAATGCAGAAGGATTTGTCGGAAAATTAATGGGTACTTGGGCACAAGAATTTTTTGTGTCGCAATTCTTCTGAAATATTGCGAATTATGAGGCAATAAAATACATTTTAATCAAAAAAATCTCCATTCTATATCTAGTTTTTAAGCGGCTCATCAAGCAAAATATTCCAAATTTTTTCGTTTGCTTAAGTAAATATATGCAGAATTGCAAAAATTTTCGCATTATTATGTATACCAAGGCTTTCAAATTGCTTGTCATGTAAATACATACATATATATGTACACAAGTGTGGACATAGACGGTTTACCTTTCGTTATCATGCATACTCACTATTATTTACAATGTCGTGTACTGAACTCTCGACTGAAATGTTTATTTCATAATAAGACACATACAATATTTCATTTTTATGTAGCAAAGTTTATTTACAAAACGGGTGGGTCATTTGACGACACATAGGTAAACTTTCGAGTAAAATACATAATACAAACGGAACTGGAGTATTTCGGTTGATGCTCATTAACAAATATCTGATGTGCAACAAACAGTTATCAAAAACCTTGCCAAAGCTTTTGTAAAATATATACTTGGCTTATGTATGTGGGATTTTTTAAATAATCTG